CAACTGCTCCAGGGCAACCTTGGGGGGCAGCCTGCTGTGCCATGAATGTCCTATTCAGGCAGCCCACCAAGACATCCAGTGGCATGGCACATTCCCAGGCTGTGACATCCGGTGGCATGGCACGTTCCCAGGCTGTGACATCCAGTGTCATGGTACCTTCCCAAGCTGTGAGAGCTCAGAGCCCAGCAGGCAGGACAGCCCCAGCTTCCAGCTCCTTTGCCCAGCTTGACCCCTGTACAAGGATGCCAATGCTGGAATGTCTCTGTGTGGAGGGATAAATGTTCCTTCCCAGGGTGTGGCAGCTCAGGGCAGATGTGATTGCAACAAATCACCTGGATTTGTCCTGGCTTGTGGATGTGTAGAGAATCATTTCCTACAGACCCATACATCTGAATGTACAAACTGTGCATGTGCACAAAACCTCTGAACCAGGCTGCAAGGCCAGAGTCTGCTGGAAAAATTTATCTGGATATATTGATTACTACCCAAAGGACAGAATAAAACCATCTCCTGCTGATTCTGGCCTCTTTATTATTTGAAGGAACAACTAGATCATTGTGATGAAACTGGCTTTTAACAAAGTGGTGCTTGATTTTACTTCACGGTAAGCCAAGACCTGTTGCCAGGTTTTCAGATAGTAAAACATTCCTTGGTTTATTTTCTCAGAAAAAGGAACTCCAAACCTCAGCTTTAATGCCTGAAAACGCCCTAGTAATTATCCTTTTTTTATCTGCGTATTATTCCAGTTCTATAAACAAGCTTAAAATAGCAAATTGTAATATTAAGATTTGGGCAGAAGAGCATCAAAGGCAGTATCTTCAGCTCTAGTGATTAACTTAAAGAGCAGAATTATTTGAGTATCTCAAGCTGCTTATCCATTTTAAGCTGGAAATCACATTCAGGGGGCCATGTTCTGATACTGAAAATCACTTGATTTTCTTCTGGTGTCAAGCAAACAGAAGGACACAATGCTTTTCTGGGCATTGATGGTCTTCAGAATAAAGGTCAGATAAAAGGCCAGTGCCTTGGAACTGCCTGTGCATCTGTGTCAGCAGTTACAAAGACCAACACTATGAACCCAGTGTGTTTAATCAAATGAGTCAAGTCTGGCTACAATTGACACCTTTGAGAGGAAGGTGTGTCAGAGCCCCATCTTCAGCTTGGGTCCTGCTTTGCCAGTGCAAGATCCCGCAGCAAGAGTAGTTTGGACATGCAGTGCTGAGGGACCACATCCACAGAGCCTCTCTTGCCTCTTCTTTGGGTCAGATCTTCACAGAAATCACTGGCAATTGCCTCTGAGCAAGGACACAGGAAAAAGGGAATGCCAAATTTTTCTGTTCCACAATTATGCTTTGTAAAGAACATGATCCTCCTTAGGTTTAGATTTCTCTGCCCAGCTATGATTACATTATCTGAGAAATGCACTTAGAAAAAGATGTTTTCTGCCTTTGTAGACTACCTAGAAGTTGCTTTATGGAAGCAGAATGCCCATATAGATAATTTAGATATTCAGACTCTGCTGGTTTATGTTTTGCAGATTCCTGAAAAGTAATGAGCTTGTCTTTTCCTCCTCCCTTCACCCCGCCAGTGCACACACTCCAGAGCAGGAGCTTCTGTTTTGGAAAAATGGGCAATTTTGTTGTCAGGATTATTCATACAGAAATGTCATTTCAGTGCTTGGTAAAACAATTCCATTTCCTCATCTGCAGTTCTGCCTCGTTCCAGGTAGGAAGCTGATCATTTTCATTTCAGTCCACTGCAAAAAGGCACAGCAAGCTCCAAAGGCCCATCCACTACTGGAGAGCTCTGATGTCTCTCAAATTTATCAGGAGCTGTTTGCAATCCCAGCCAGGGCTGTTATAGTGCTATTGATGGGAGATGTAGGATCTCCTCTCCAGCACTGAAGTTCTTGGTTTTGTAACCAAAATCCATGTTAGGGCCTTCAAGCAAAGTATCCCATGTGACAATCATTTCCCCATTTGCCATCACTCTTTCCTCACTTGCCTTTTTCAAGGCTGGAAAGATGATGTATGGTGTCTCTAGAGCAGGAAAAGTGCAGCTGGGAATGTTAGAGTATAGATGTAGTTCCTACTCACAGGCAGCTGCTACTCAGCCCTTCTAGACAATGCTCCTCCATAGGGGCTGGTTTTATGAAAGGAAGTTGTCTTTTCACTCAACAAGAAACTTGTACATAGTCTTTAAATGCCAAGCTTTGCATTAAAAACGAAGTATTTCTGGAGACTGTAGGGTACAGCTGTTTCATCATCCTCTTAAAAACTGTGAATTAAGAGATTTGAAATATTTCTCCTGAGTGTTTTGACTGTAACTCTACAAGTAGTGTAATCTACCAGTAGCACACATCAGGAAAACATGTAGCTCATCCAAAGCCTTCCAGACAGCCATTGCTATCAATAACCAGGCAGGAGTGCTCTGATGAGTGGGAGCAACAGCTTTTAAGCCATACAGACTTTGCAGCAGTAGGTAATTGTCATTATTACCCCAGAGTGAGGAAACAGGGATGAAGTGATTCACCCAAAGAGCACTGTGAGTCAATAGGGGAGCTGGGAATAGAGTGCAGAATTCCCTGCATTATCCATTGGAGGCCTCAGATAATATCATTTCATAAATGCTCTATCTTTGTAAAGACTTCAGTGCTATAATTATCCTCCCAGGACTCTCATGGAAACAAGATATTTATAACTCCATTAAGCCTTTCCTGGTAATTTTATGATCAAAGTGAAAAACCCAAATAATGCTGTGCCAATCAGTCGCATGTCCAATGTCATCCAGAATGGCCACATGATGAAAGCCTCTCCTTGGCTGCTGCAATTAAGTGCTTGCTATCTTCTGACTGCCTTTCCTATGTCCAATTCCCCTTCTACCACATGGTGGACAGGGAGTAATTTTTGCAGTGTGATGAGCCATGCATTTAGAATGTACCAAATAACTGGGAAAGATGCTTGTTGCCAGCAAAGCCTACTGGTTTGGGCTATAAATGCTTCCTAAAATCCTTTCATGTGTGCCAAGTTCACCTAAAATGAGCAAAGCCACCTCAGTATTTCCACTAACCTTTGTATGTCCTTAAAATTGCAATGCTGATGCCAAGACTAACAGTAAACAACAGGTTAGGGACTGAGGCTTTTGGACCCTGGTTCAGCAAAGCACTTAAGCCTATGCTTAAATCAAAATCCATTCTTATTCCCCAGATCCATTTTAAGTGTTTGTTTAAGGCAAAACACATGCTTAAGTTGAGTTTTGCTTGGCAAAATGCCTAAGCCCAGCACAGAGCAAGAGTCTTAAAATTAATTTCTTTTTGAGGGGAAGTCATTATTTTTAGACCACCTCTCAATGGCCACAACACTATCTTTTAGTCCCCAGACAGCTATTTTGAGGAGGGTATGTGCTAAGTCTAAACTTCTGGGTTCTGTGACAATCAGTGGCACAGAAAAGAGAAAGACCACTTGAAATACTTGGCTTGAGAGGGGCCTTTGGGGAAGCTCATTATAAGGAAGACATGAAAGAAGTTGTGATTATTCTGGGAGGTGGCTGCTGATACTGTGGGTGATCTTTTCACTGCACTGACTGGAGAAGATTCACTTACAGGAGGTCAAGAATTTTAACTCAAAATGTTTTCAGGAGTTTTATATTTCCACAGGAAAATTCATTATTTCAGGGAAAATGTTTATGCTCTCTTCAAAAGTATAAAAAAAAAATTTCCTGGAATGTGTTAATTTCCTTGGGTTTTTTTTTCCATGAAACACTTCTCTGATACACAATTATTAAAGGAAAATTAATGTAACAGAGTTTTATTTCTTATTCCTTGTAATACTACATTTCCTGTCTCATTAAGACAACTCTTACCATTGTTTCAATGACTTTGACATGGGAATTTATCAGGTAGAGCTGGCCTTTGCCACATCTGGAGGAGGAAGAGTTACATTTTCTAAGATTTTTTTGAGGGATGCTATATTACTTTCCCTTTAACACCCAGTCTTCACACAGAAGGTAGAAATAAAAAAGGTAGCTTGAAATACATTTTATTTCTCTGTGGGCTTAAAAATCTTTGGCTTCTTACAATCTTGTGGTAATGGCATGGATAAAACCTTACTCTGATTCCTGCTATGTCCTGATATGTAGGACAGCTTTCTAACAGCAGAGAGAGTCAGGTAAGAGGACAGATTCCCCATGGAAATTTGGCACTGCTGTATTTAAGAGGTGACTGGACAAGCACTTGAAGAAGAATAATTTAGATACTCTTAATCCACTCCTGCACAGGGTATCTCAATGACCTTTTAATGCCTGTTTAACCCTGTCCCATGGGAAAGTCTTTCCTTCGTCCAGAAGCTTCTGGATTATTTCCAGGCAGAAGACCCCTTTTAGCTCTATCACTTGACCACCACATTGCTTTACTAATCCACCTCCCTTGTTTTTTTCCACCTTGGAAAGTACAGTGAGTGCCTGGAGCTGTCACATACAACAGGGCAGTGTGGAACTCCAGTCAGGCCCACTTTTCTTCACCTCTGCCATGAACAGGTATTTCTTTCCTGTCAAAAGCCTGCACTTCCAATAAAAACATGTCCTGCCTTTCAGGACTAATGTTTTCATGGCTGATTCATGACTGATGGTGAGTTGCTAAATCCAGTAGCCCAACAGAGGTGAGGCTGCTGAAGCTCCACACCCCTGGATCCAGCAGACACATCCACAGATGTGTAAAATGTGTGTATCCACTGATGGTTCCAGTGGCCAGCTCAGACAGAAACACTCAGCACTCAGACAAACAGCAGCAGGGGCCTCATCCTGCCTCCTGCTCTGGCAGATCAGGGTGGAGGTCTGTGAGTGCAAAATATTTATAAATCATCACAGAATCATAGAATGGTTTGGGTTGGAAGGGACCTTAAAGATCACCCAGTTCCAATCCCTTGCCATGGGCAGGGACACCTTCCTCTAGACCAGGTTGCTCAGAAGCCCATCCAGCCTGCCTTACAAATATTATGGTAATTTCCAAATTTTAAAATTAAAATATACACTTCCAGGTAATACCATGCATGAAATCCAAGGGAATGGCCTTCAGTTATGGAAGAGACACTTGAACAGCAATTAAGATTGCAACTCTTACACATTTAACCATTATGGGCTGAAATAAAAGTTGGATGAATTATTTTCCAGCCATATAAATCACTGAAGTTGTTCTATCCATCACGAAGGTAAGCCAACCACGTAATGAATTATACAATGTGTTATTTTCCTATGCATGTTGTTCCCATAGTTTGCTCTGTTGTTCAAAGTCTATTTGTATGAGGGGATTTTTCTGCAAATACTTTTAAAATGATGAATAATCTTTACTTGCAAGACTAAAAATACATGCCAGCTATTATTGTATATTAAATCTGACAGCAGTTAAAGTGTTGCTATCTGAACTTATTTGACAGCATCTTCAAACAACTTTTACTAGGTATTCTTTACAGGATTAAATATTCTTAGATTTGTGCAATTTGTTCTATAACTCATGGAAGGAGAAGTAAAAGTGTTCTAGATAACAGACAACCAGTCTCATGAGCAGGAACAGCTTTCCTTGCAATCACTTTTTATTGGGAGCTAAACTTGGTCAAACTTTCATTGCAAATTCCTGCAAGGACCAATTCTGAATCCTGTGGAGCAAAATAAAGCTCAGCAGAAATTTCAGGTGCTCCAGTGGAACAAGATCCCAAATGCTTGCAATTTTTCCATTACAAATGCATTTTATTCACAAGAAGTTGGCACTGGTTGTAGGCAGAGCAGGCCGGACCTTCACCTGCCCACCCAGGCAGTGACACACAAGTCCCCACAGTTTATCAGGATGTGGAGCTGATCCAGAGGTCTCTGCTCAGACTGTCCTGGATTTTGTGCACACCAACACCAGGGAGGTGTTTGCTGTTACCAATGAGATTTCTTAGCATCAGACACCATTTTGGCCTTGATTTGAAGCGCCCTGCAGGAAGCAGTGACCTGGCCCAAGGGAGCAGCTTCTCTGCTGGTTCTGGCACAGCTTCCACACAGGATTTCCAGACACTGCAGCTTTTTGTCCTGGACGTTTGGTTGGTGAGTTTAGTATATCAGATTTGCAAAGTCAGTGAGTAACTGGCCCACAAATTATGAATGCAGCAGGAGAGCTTGGACTGAAGCACTGGGAGGTGGGCAGCCGGGGAAGAGCACAGGTACGACTGCACTGGTTTGGCACAGCACAGTGTACAGCACTGAAAGCTGAAATCAAGAACTCTGCAGGCAGAGAAGCTGTCTGAAGATGTGGGATTAGGAAGCAGCTTAGTGGTCCATCCATCCAGCATGGGCTGGCAAAGAAAGGTCAGTGCTGCACAACTTTCATTCCCGAAATTTATACCGGACCTGTAATGGTGCCATGGGTTGCTGTGTCCCCACCAAGTGTAAAGGGCTCTGAAGAAAGGAGAAATTCAGGAAAAACACATCAGTTAGTTTAGTTAATATAATTACCATTGTGCTTTAACATTAAGATACAAGCATCCTTGCATCTTCAGTCTTAAGAGAACCAATACCAAATACCAATAATTATTTTCTGGCTTTGCCGAAGCCAGCGAGTAGGGCCTTTATGCTTAATTATTATTCCAGTAAAATCTTTCTGTTGCTCATTCAATCTTACCTAACCATTTACCTTCCACCCCTGAATATGGAGTGGAAGAGCACTACAAGTGTTACATCTGATTCCATATCTTTAAAGTATTAGTGATCTCATTCCATATTTACTGTTTTTGTGAGCAACAAGTATCAAATCTCTGGTAATGTTTAAGCAACGATGAGACAAAACCTTCTTGTAAGCACTTTGTTGTACAGGCAGTGCAGCCCCACTAACTGGAATTGCTGGAATTACTCTGGATTTTCTGAGTTAAAACAAAGATACATGTTTTATAATACTCCTCTCAAAATTGATGTAACCACAGTTGAGCATGGCTGTTCAGCTGAACCTGATGAATGAAGGGTATAAAGATGGAGAATGCTACACAAATGCATGGATCTCTTACCTCCTTTGGCACTGCATCCAAGAGCACAAATTCATACTTGTACAGGAACAGCACAACCAACAGTTGGATTTCCATGATTGCAAACCACCTGCACAAAAAGGGAGGAAAGCACTGGCCCTCCAGACTGACCATCACATGTGTGTTATTATCAGGTAAGAAACAGGGTGTCTGACACATTTTACACTCTGTGCTTTAGTTCTGCCTGAAAGTTTATCTTCCATAGGAAAACTGCTGTAGTTTGGGTTTGTTACCCAGCAAAGAACACGAATGTGGCAGCTGCCCCTTCTTTCTCTGGTGAAACACTGGACTGACAGTATCCCTCTGACACCTATTTTAAACCAGCTCCTTATCATTATGGATTTTTCCACTGTATAAACATTTATGTTCTCCTAACACTTGCTGACTTGAAATAACTTCCTAGGAGTGAGAAGGCAGTCAAACAGAAAAGGCCATATGACTAATTGTGCTATATAAAGTTATATAATACAGCTGGGAGCCTGGTGACATCAGAGAGCGGTGACAGTGGGAGTTATTATTTAATGCGTCAGCATTAGGATGCAGTAGGAGACCCAAGGGCACGGTTTCTTTTTTCTGTAACACTCTCCCAAAGTTCTTTGTTAGGCCAGAGAAGATTTTGGATAACTGCAGGTGAAATCCTCCAGGCTATTGGTTTTTAAAGCTTATGTGTACGAGAGCTCTCTGCATTCACCAGTGTGCACCTATGTGAGGTCATGGGATTACTCACTTGCAGAGTTTAGACACAAGTCTTAAATACCCAGTTAAAATAGTAATATCACCTTGCTCTTGTACAGAGAAATGCTGGGAAACCTGGATAAAATAGCTATGGGGGAATTCACAGGGGAAGAGGCTACATGACTGCACATGGAGCTGGCCTGGCAGGTGTAAAGGGAAGCTAAAAAGCCTCACAAACCCAAGGTAACTCCTGCAGAGCCACCAGGCTCTGCCCATGGAGCCACCCTGGGCTCTGGAGTGAGATATCCTTGCTTGTTTCAGCACAGCTTCAGACCCAAATTATCCCTGTGATTTCACATTGCAATTACCTTGAGCTTTTGGTGGCCTTGGCTCAGGGGAATGGAGTGCAGAGATATTTTGAAGGCTATTAGCCCAGCTCAGGTGGGATGTAGCCCAAACTCCAACCCTGCAGCACCATGCAAGGCTGGGTCCCTCCAGTCCCAGATGTGTTTGCACAGCAGGGCCCTGGACCCCAGTGCTTGAGGGACAACACACCCCGCGAGACAAGCACAGCTACACAGGCACTAAACACCTGGTTCAACCAAAGTAGTCAAACTAGCATCAAATTTTTCTTTTAGGTAAAAAATATGGCACAGAAATGGCTTTTTGGGAGCTCTTCCAATATTCTACTGGTAGAATATTGGACAGCTAAGTTATTTACTAGCTTTCAGTTTGATTAAATTAGCTTTTAATTTTATGCTGAACTTCTGCAATGTAGAAATTAAATGTTTCATACATTTCATTTATAAACTGCAGTACTGAAAAAAATAAAATTGCACCTTAAACTTGAAATAACATTGTTTCATTCAGTTGTATGAAGGAAATCTGCGACCTGGAATCCTTGATACAACCCTTGATTTAATTTTTGGTTTTTTTCAAGATCATCACATTATTATTTTACAATTATTGCTGAAAAACCTGAAGGTATGTGTTACCATGTGGACTGCCAAAGGGTCTGAAAGGGCTTTTTTGTTTCTCAGCAAGAACAAGATTCTCCATCTGTTGTCTGTGTAGAAATGTTATACTTTCCTCTCTGAACAAAAACTTATTTGAAAGATGTTATCAGAGCCCAGAGAACAGCGTGAACAAAGATATAGGTCAGGATATATAAACAAGCAGCTTTCATTGTTTTGCAGCTTTCCCTGTACCTGCAGATGCCTCTTGTGAATTTTGCTGTTGCCCTTGCTGGGAATGAGGCTGTGCTCAGATTTAGCTCAGGAATGTGGTACAAGCCACCAAGGTACAGCAGTGAGTGAGCTCTTCCCCCTGGCAAGCCCAAATGGCAAAAGCAGTTTTATTCATTTTGCTCATGACTTTAATGCCTTCACAAAGTTTATCTGGCACTCATGTTGAGCCTGCCATAGGGTGCAGATTCCAGAATGCAGATCCTCTGCAATACCCTCCAGATTCCTTGCTCCATATGGAACTCAAGGTAAAATGACTAGTCTAAAGGATTCTAAGGAGACTTTTGTCTCAGAGGAGCTCAGGTTTTGAAAGCAGAGGATTGAGCACAGAGATGTTTGAACACAGGAACAAGGAGCAGCTGGCTCTCTGGGACTTTTTCCAGGAAGAGGGACAGCAGAGAAAACAGCAGAAGGAATGCAGGAAGTACCAAGGCTGGCATTGCTGGAGGAGTGAAGTGAGACAGGATCTGCAATTTAAGCCATTATACAATTCTGTGTGCCCTAATGCAAAGACCAGATTCAAACAGAGAGGAGGTTAAGATACCTGAAGATCAGCAGAGATGTCAATGGCACCACAGAGGATGGAAAGAGTCTCAGACCCGAGAAATGTTCTGTAGGTTTGTTTAGAACTGGTTTAAGACAACCTAAATAACTGTGTCTGTAAAATGGTGTGTTTCTCCTTTGATAAAAACAAACCTCAGCAGGGGCAAAGCCAGGCTGAATTTCCTCCCACCACTCCCTCGGTGGGTGGCAATATCCCTTGATACAATGATCTCAGATTCTGCCTGTTCACTGTGACTTCACCTGTCTTTTCCAGGAATGAAACCACTTTCAGATCAGTTTAAACAAGGTGCAAATGGTGCTGAACATTAGGAGACTGACAAAGAGCAAAGCAAACACGTTATCTCCAAGAGTAAGAGAAGCCCAGTTCAAGAGAGTTGTTCTCTGCAGGGTTTGGGAATAAATAAACTCCAGCTGTTTCACTGACCTTCCTGGACACTGATGCTTCCCTCCTCCGAATGCCACAAAGCTGTCCAAGAAAGCATTCTTCTCTAAATTTGCCTCTTTCCAACGATCCTGTGGGAAGAAACTTTTTTTTCCAAATCAGCCTTATATAAATAAAGCTTAACTTTATTTTTTCAAGCTAAAAATGACCTTGGACAGCTAATCCTCAATACGAAGTTGCACTAATACCATTTTTTTTTTGCATTCAACCTGTTAGTATTAGAATCTGGATCCAAAAGTCAACAACCGAATCAGGGAAAGACATGAGGGTCCCATTTGAAACATTTAGGTGTCTTAAAATGCTGGAGAAGTTTTCAAAATTACCCCTAAAGCAGTTCTCCTATACCTCCCCAATTCCTAAATCCTGCATCTTGAGCTATTAAAATGCAACCTTCTCTTTTTAAATGTATCTACAAATGCAAATGTTAACCAGTACTGAGAGAAGCCTCAGCCACAAAATTGTGTCATGACACACAAATAGCTCACATACATCTTGCACAAAAAAAACATTTCTAAGACACTCTGCACAGACAAATGCAAGGTCTATGAGCTTTAACTGGTGTAAGCCAGTGTGTGAGAACATGAAAGATTCTCCACAAAAAATAGCTTGTCTGTACCCAAAGGGATCCCTGCTCCATCCTAAATTGCTTTGAGAGGAAAGAGACTACACAAGGAACAAGGCAATATTGGCTGAAGTTCTGGTGAGTGACACTGAGAGAAGCAAATCTCATGACTGCTGGGTGACAAACTGTACCAGCCTTCACAAACTCGGTGCTACTCTGCCAAGTAACACCCTGTCAAGCTTCTGGTGGTGAACTCCTCTGATGAAGCTGTCCCAGAGAAGACATCATCTTGCACTTATCTATTTTAGGGTGTTTTTTTCAGCTAGGGCTGATTAGAGATTTCTGAGGAAGAAACCTGTAAGCATCAAAATCCAATAAAGAAGAAAAAATATCTCTGTGGTGATGAAGCAAGGTCATACATTTGGAATGACAATGTCCAAGGGGCACTCATCTCTTCCTCTTGAAAAAAAGGGAGAGTTTCTAAAAAACAAGCTCACTTGCTCTTTAGAAATAAAGTTACTAAAAAAATAAGCTGCTGCATCAGAGTTTCAGATTTCAAAGAAGCAGGAATTGTTAAAAGGGATTTCAAATCAGGAAGAGTTTGCTAGAAGGGAAGTTTTGTTTAAATTACTTCTTGATGTATTTCTATAAAAAAGACAAACTGTTCTATATTGGATGGTGCTAAAAAGAGCAGTTACAAGCCTGCCCACACAGCCACCTGCAGTGGAATAATAATCAAGAAACTAGATTAACTACTGAATTAGCAGAGATAATACCTACGATAAATCATCCACCAGGGAGAGGAGAATATTTGGAATCACAGAATTGATTAGGTTGGAAAAGACCTCTAAAATCATCAAGTCCAGCATTAACCCAGCACTGCCAATCCACCACTAAACCACATCCCCAGCTGCCACACCTACACATCCCCTCCAGGGATGGTGACCATTTTCCTGGGCAGCCTGTTCCAATGCCTGACAGTGCTTTCAGTCATGAAATTTTTCCGAATATCCAATGTAAATCTCCCCTGGCACAATTTGAGGCTGGTTCCTCTCATCCTATCAGCTCTTACTTAAGAGAAAAGACTGAGCCCCACCTGGCTGCCAGCTCCTTTCAGGGAGTTACAGAGAGTGATAAGATCAGGATCAAAGTGATACTAAAGTAGTACCGTATTACCTGCAACATGTCAGTGAATTTAAAAGAGTTTTTTATTCCTACAGGCTCCACAGGCTCCTCCTTTATGTCTCTGTATTCAAGGACATTCTCCAGCCAGATTTAAGCACATTTGTCCGTATGCTTTTATTGTAAAAGAAGTAAAGGGAAGAACAGGCAGCAAAATATCCACACTAAGAGTGACAACTTACAGGTTTGAACATTTCTGGGTCAGGAAAATGTTTTGGATTCCGGTGCAACCAATATGGTGACAACATCAGCATGTCACCTGCAGGGATGGTGAAATTCTGAAAAGAGAAAAATCTCTAAGAAAAGAACTAAAAATTTCACAAAATAGTCTCTCCTTGGTAGTTCTCTCCCATCAGCAGAAGATCCTAAGAAAAGACAAGTGAAGGTGATAAAGCCATAGTGGCCATATTACATGTCTCAAGTTTCTTCTTGCTGCTGCTATTTTTTTCCATAAAATCTAAACAATGGGGAAGTTGGAAAGATTATTTGTGTTCTAATTTGGGGTTTTTTTAGATATCAAAAGATCAGAAGCATTATTTCTGTCTTTCCTGCTTCTTGATTTATCATGTGAGCTGTTTTCTTTTTTCTAAATATTTTGTTAAATACTTCCTTCAATGCAAAGAAAGTCAAAGAAAGCCTTCTATGACAGTAGATACATTATACTGATAATTTGATCAGTAATCTTATATAGTCATGAGCACTGATTCCTTAAGAGTGTGGGTTTTTTCCCAAACATTTCTGTGCCAGATTCCTGAATGCTGACACCTCCCTTCTGAATGGTAGCGAAGAGGACAAAAAGGAGTCTTATCAGTAACTAAAATGTAGTTCCTTCTACTATACTTGTTGTGTCTGATTCCTCTTTTATATGCCATCAGTATCTGTAGCTCAATTCAATTCAATCTTAAATCAATTCAAAATTGAGGGCAAGACTGTGAGCCAGACAATCCAAACCACTCATAAATTAATGATGACGAATAAATCTATTAAAAAGAATATATATGTGAGGCTGAGGAATATCTCTATCTCTGTAATTTTACCCAGATCTATTGGGAGGATCCTTTACAGACAAATCACACAGCATCCTTTGGGGGAAAAAAAGCCCCACAACCAAACCTCACCTTAATTCTAATTGGGTTTATGACTTTCTTGGTGATTGCACCTGGAGACCTCAGCCGTATGGCTTCCAAAGTGCACCATTTAATGAAAGGGATCTGCTTCAGGTCTTCCTCAGAGACTTCCAGTTTATCTTTACCTGTTATGGCATGAGAAAGAAGACTCCATGTAAAAATTACAATTCATAGTTGCTTTGATACAGGCTGGCATGTCTTGCTTTAGGACTGTGGGTGAAATACTTCAAGACTTCAAGGCATTGTTTACACACAAAAATTGTCAATATATTTCAAAGTAAATAAACAGACCCAAATCAGTAAAATTTAAGAAAAGCCACTGGACATAATTCAATAACTCTAAGAGAGGTGTAGATATTGTGTTAGAAGGGGCCAAACAAAGCCATGTTGGAAATTAGAAGCCTTAAGAGTTTTTCTTTTTTGTGCTTTCATAGGATACTGCATGGAAATCTCAGGGACTGTAGGCACCAAGACAAGAAGCCATGGCTGAGCTCTTGGGCTCTGTTAACATTAGAAAATGAAACAAGGCCAAGAATTTTCTTTATTGGTTAATTACTGACATGTTTGTTTATACAGTTTTGACCCATGTCAACAAAGAGTCTTCTGTGAAAGTTTAACTCTGGTCCCAGGGACTGCATATGGGAATGACTGCTCCCAATAGGTGACTGCTTTTCGAGGGAAACAGGTTACTCATGGGGGGTGAACCATGCTGGAAAAATTTGCCTCTATTGACAGATAAGAGAACAGTTTCTGGTCTGTTTTTTAACCATGAATAGATATAACTCTGGTGAACAGCACACCATGAAAAGCACCTGAACTGAAAGACCTCACCTATTAGGTGCCTGGAAAAAGCACAAGACTGGGAAATACCAATCTAAGTTTAAGTGATAGGAATGAAGAAACAAACACACAGTGTTCTTTTCTGATAGGAATGAAGAAACAAACACATAGTGTTCTTTTCCTACTTCCTTCTGCTAACATCAGAGGTGTTTTTGCTTAAAAATATGTCTTGAACATATACTGAGTAAAGACCTGAGAGCTGGACTCTATGTTGTCAGTAGAACCCTTAACTGGAACACTCATTGTTCCCAGCCACTGACCAAGTGTGCCCTGTGCTGGGCCAACACAGGATAAATCACTTCCAGCTTCCAGAAGGACAAAATCACATTTATTACCTGCTTTGCCAAAAACAGAAGCCAGGTCTTCCATGACTTTCTTGTAAATGGCAGGATTAGAGAGTATGAAAGCAAGGGTCCAAAATGCAACCTAAACAGAGATGGAAATCCTTGAATTGAGGGACACAGAGCAGAATGACAATATCTTTTTAGCAAATCACAGAGGCAGGTGAAAACATTTGGACTTTTTTGGTATGTGCCTGCCTGTGGTTGAGATGCCTGGGGAGCTGTGCTTCCTGGGTAAATCCATATCTAAGGGTTCAGCTCCTGGGAGATTATGTCTAGTCATCTGCTGTGTACTTATCTTTAGTGAACATTATATAGCTTTGGCCTTGAGCTTTGAAACACAGAATCCTTTATTTTCAAATAACTAGGTGTTAAATTAACTACTAAATCATCGTGCATGATTAGTTTTAGCTGCAGGAATGAAAGAAAAATAAATTCATACTAGCATTTGCAGAAATTAGGTTAAATAATTTGCAGGGCATTGTCATAGTGAGTCACACTAAAATGGGCAGGAAAAGTTTTAATTAACAGCAAAACAAGGAGTAGTATATCCCCTTTAGAAATAATTTGCTAACTGATTATGCAATGAAGTTGAAAATCAAGAAATTTAGGAAAGGAGAAAATCCTCTTAAGCAGGATGAAACCAGAAGGACTGGCAGCAATGCCAGGAGTCTCTCTCCTCTTGCTGAGCTAGCAGGAGGTGCAGCCTGCACACAGATCTGGTCGTGGGCCATCTGTGCTGGTGAGGGATGAAACTCTGACTGTTATTTCCCAAACAGACTGACATGGATGCAGCCCTCACCCTGCAAAGCAAATCTTGTAGCTTAGATTTCCTGTACAGCACTTGGACACTGTGGCTTCACTCCATGGGCTAAGAAGGGATAACTGAATTGTTTCAGATAAAAGGGTTTAAAGTGCTTGTAAAAAATGCCCTTGGAAGGTGAAAGGCCTTTTCTTTCGTCATTCCATTCCCCAGAACAGTGGTTGTTACTATTCTCAGAAACAGAAAAATATCTGTATGTCTATTTACAGCTGAATATTACAGAAGTAAGTGTTGTGGAAGGAATGTCAGTTATCCTGATAACAGACAGCAGGCTATGCCTCCCACTTACACCAACACGTGAATCCACAGAAACCTCACTGAAATGGATGAATTTCCCCTAGGCTAAACTGCAGTAATATCCAATCTCCAAAAAACATAGATATATCCGTTAGGGGAACATATAAAAATAACTCACTATCATGTTTTTCTAAATCACATCTGTAATGGACATAACTGTGCTGGAAAGAGCTTAGTAGTCATGGTAAATAAAGGATGTTTTTGCTGCTATGGATTTTTCATCTGAGAAATTCCTATAAATGTCTTTGGTCAGCCTAAGCTGTCTTAGATATATTGGGCTTGTTAGCATACTTATATCAGTGTCATTAATCCAGCAAATCCTTTTCTAACACAGACAAAATGTAACAGCTCTAGAATCAAACTATTGCTTTTCTTCCACTGGCATTTGTACAGCAGATCTCCCAAAAATGAAAGAGAAAATATCACTCGAGGGTTTACACACAGATGAAGTTACTCTATATTATGCTTTTGATATTCTTTACAATTGGTAACATCAGGGTATCTGAAATAGTTTTTTCTATAATACAGCCACAGTGCTTCAAAACAGAGTTAAATGCTCTTCACAGCTTAAGACTGTGATCTTAATAGCTGTGAGGCTTATGTTCCTGAAATGTTATGACAGGGGACAACATAATTTAGGAAAAATACAAGAAGAGCTTTTCTTGTCATTGCTTCTGTGACATTGCAGCCTGGGTATATTTGTAGTGATGCATGTGGGCGTGATAATCCCTTCTTTGGAATCCATGGAGTGTGTGTGACCTCTGCTTCAAAGCCTTTCCTTCCCAAATCCAGGCTTTGGAGCAGGAGAGAGAGAAGGTGTTTCTGCAGCTGATGTACTTACGGGCACAGCGTTTGCTTGGGCAGCCCAGAGCATCAGGAGGCCATAATTGGGAGCGTAATTTCCCTGCAAGTTATCCAGGAGATGTTGCAGAAGTGTCTGTTAAAGATAAAGGAAATAATCTGTATTTCCAAGAATGTATTAAAATGTAGTTTGGGGCAGGGCTTACCAGAGTTCAAGGACTAGTTTCTCAAAGAGAAGGAATGTTAGTTATGGCTTTTTTGGAAGGCACAATGTAGAGATAACAGCTATTAAGAGAAAGTGATACTCACATAGGCAGAGGGCAAGGAGAACTCAGTGCACCACATGAATTCCTCCTGAATACTTTCACTGCTCTCCATTTCCTTAAAGTTCTAGAGGATTAGGTTCCCTCACTCCCCATTGTTGCTTGTATGTGGAAGAAAGGAAAAACAAAATCTCTATTCTAATCCCTTCTCTACACCTCTGCTTTAAAGAACCTCAAGATGGGAATGAGCCAGTTGAACGAATGAAAGTACAGAAAATGTTCTCTCTGTTCATGCCAAAAAGGTGCTTGTTATAAAGATATGGTCTGACACATCAGCAACCTCCCTAGTTTCAGGCACCTTGTTGGCAACCTAAGCAGTGACTGCAATGAGCTGATATTTGAAACTATAGGAACTGTGTAATGTTCTAGGATCAGCTTTTGTTTATAGTATTTCCTTGAATGCAGTGCAACCATGCACTTGAGGCAAAGCTTCCTGCCTACTTTTCAGAGGGGAAAAGGCTGATCTTGAATAAAAAATGGCTGATTTTTTTCCAAATTCCCATCCAATCTAAGACACCAAGTTTGTGCTTCCTGCACCTTCTTACCTCCCACCAGCCCCTCTCCAGCATTCTCTTTCTTTCTGCTGATCTGGTTTATTTTACTAAATAAATTGCAGTATGTAAAGCTTTTAAGTATAAATAAAACCTGTTTTGTTTAATGATCTGTCCTACAACCATGTGGTAGATCAAAATTCCCATGCCAGTCTGCTGTCACTTTTGTCAGCCCTATCAGCAGAATTCCTGCCAGAGCTCAGGAGAATAACCAGGGGAACAACTTATCTCAGCTTTGACACAATCAATATGTAGGGTACTTGGCTCCCAAGCCAGTAATCTGCTATTTTCTACCAGTCTGGCTGTTGAAGGATCTGCTCACTCTGCACCAGGGTTTATAAATAGCACATGTAAGGTTTTGAAGTTTCACAGCACGGTGCCCTCAGTGGAACAACTGAAGGGTCTTTCTCTCACCTCTTTCAAGTGCTCTCTGCAGCGTGGTACTGCAGGCTGGGGATGGGTCATAGCTCTGACCCCTTGCCTTAAATTCCCCAGGGGAAGATGTTAGTTCTCGGAATTGCTTGAAATGAACTAAATGGAGGAACAGGAGTCAAAGTTATGGGTCTGTCCTGCTGCAGGTGACAGCAATACAGGAACATTTGGGTATAGCTATAAAAGCTGACATATTTGACTTATTTCTTCCAGTTCTGAAGTAATTCCTGCTCTCCATTGCTTCAGTCAGAATATACAACAAAGTCATCTTATTTCCTAGCCTCGGATGTTTACCTTGGATGCAGTCTCTGAAGGGTTGGTCCTTTCAGCATCCAACACTACTTTCTCAAATAATTTTAGAAGCCATTTTTTGGATTTAGACCAGCTCCTGTAAAGAAAAGCAACAAACAAGAAGCACTTAACTGAGGCAGCAGAAACCAACATTTCCTTCCATGAGAAGCCCTCCTTGGGTTGTTTTCCAAAAGCCCCTGGGCAGCAGTCAGCTGATGAACAGCCAATGTCAGTCTGACTGACAGAAGTGATGACTGGCATGAGGAACAGCATGTCCAAGGCCTTCACCTAGGCCAGATCTCCTCTTGCAGACAGCACCTGGGACTGCAACACTCCTACAATTTCATATCTTTTTTATTACAGGTTTTCAATGTAGATTTGGACAGACTCCTTAGACCAATCTTTTAAAGAATGATCCTCTTGAAGAAAATCAAGGCCATTTTTTAAAAGCATCTTCAATTCTTTCTGAAGGTATTTTGAGGTTCTAAAGGTGCAATGATGGCCCTGAGAGCACTGACAGTGTCTGGAAGCCCCTTCTCAGGGTTTAGGTGTTTCTACCCAAGGTCAGTTCTGTGACAGTGCAGACATGTAGCCCGGGACTGGTACTGGGAAAACAGCTGAGGAGTGTGGAGAAGAGCAGAGAGACACCTCACTGGAGGCCCCCTGAACTTGGGACTCACATTTAGGCTCAGCCCTTTGCTCTTTACCCCATTCTGCTGCTACCTGACAGGTCCAAGCTGGCCTCTGCTCACCTAAGCCAGGTTATTTCTGCTTTATACCAGGAAAATGCACAAGACAAGCTCAGAACTATTTTGAAGCATTCACCTAAAAGCCTGCTTCACCTGAGGGCACACCATCAATAAAAACTGGGCATCATCCTCCAGGGGAAATGTCTCCCATGGTTGACACTGCAGCAAGATAAGTGTCTGTAGTGGGTACACCACAATCATCATCTCTACCCCTTTACCTCAGGAAGCACTCAGGCATCTGAGAAGCATATTCAAAGTCCTCATCATACTTCTGAAAATGCTCTTCAAACTCCTTGATTTCACTTGGACTGGTTGGGCAGATGCCCTTCCCAAACAGGGTGTTCACCACCGCTGGATACATGACATGCCTGCAAGGACAAGATGCTCAAGACTTAGGGGCCACAGGGAAGCTGCTGCAGCAGTTTTAGAGCAGAATTCAGCACTGGGATTGCCTGCCCTGGAAGCTGTGGGACTCACCAGTATGGAAGGGCTGGCACAAGGCTCACACCTCATCCCCACACTCATTTCAGATTTTAAAGAGAGTCAGGAGATTCTCAGACCTCAGGCTGGTCTTCTACACATGGCTGAACTTCACCAGCTAGGGTGTGGTCACTTGAGCAGGAGCAGAAAGGCTCTGGCCACTGAGGTCCCCTTCTCCCCATTAACCACCACCCTCATTTCAGTTTGACCCACATGAACCTTCGGGGCATTGCACAAACCCCTCTGGACCAAACATCCTGAAACATCCTTCCTCTGGCTGCAGCTTTCCTGGGCAGATAATGCCTTTTTTTTTATTCTTTTCATCTCACTCTTTCATGCTTGCTCTTCTGTTATCCTGCAAAATCTGAGCTCCTTCCTCAGACTCTTCTCCTGTACTCCAGGAAACTCTTGTGCAGTCCTTGCTGTGTCCTAGATGCTGCTAAATGAGTATTTCAGGGAAAAGTGCTCACTTTCTGACTTTCTGATAATTAGGAAGAGGGGGCCATCTGGTGGCTCTATGGATTTAATTTTGAGACAGCTAAATAACAATTCTTCAGAATGTTGCATTCCAATACTTTTACTTTGCTTTGTTTAGCAAAGCAGAACTGATCACCCCCTAGGAGATTTCAAGCCCCTCTCCCCCACATTTTTCCCCAGTTAATCCAAATTGCAGTAACTGCAGTGAGAGGTGCCAAGTGATTTAACTGCACTAACGGCTGTATCTTGTTGTATTATGCAGGAAAAGGCAGCAAGAGACAATCTGAATGTGAGGTGTTTGAAACAGGTCCAATCCAAAGGCAATATCTCTCCCCATCCCTGGGAGTCTTCAAGGCCAGACTGAATGGGGCTCTGAGTGACCTGCTCTATGGAAGGTGTCCTTGCCCATGGCAGGGGATGGAATAAGAGGATCTTTAAGGTTCCTTCCAACCCAAATCATTCTATGATTCCATTAATATTCAGCTTGTAATACAGATGGGACAGACAAGATACAGGTATTGTCCCAGATAATCAGGAAGAAGAAGGAGTTAAAAGCTTTGTTGCTGTCACATAAAACATTTTTTTTTTTCAATGTGAAGTTCTGGCAGCCAAGTCAGTTGCAGAGGGTCTTAGTTAAGCTTCAAGCTAAGCTTGGCTCAAACATGGAAATTTCTCAATTGCAGAAGATTAAGCATTTTTTCTAAGTTCTTTATAAATAATGTGAAGCTTTTATCCCATCTTTTGGGAAACAGGGTTTGTTGGAACATGCTGTGTTTTCTTTTTTCTTCCAAACAGACAGCTCAGATGCTTCTTCTAACTGGGAGAAACACCTTCACATGAAACCCTGTCCACCTTGTGAACCACCTGAAACCATGGAGCTGTGATGAGCATCCTGACAAAACTTTTGTAAGACTTTTGAGCCCCAGCTGCTTTACAGAAGTATTTCCCTTCCACGTAGGACACCCCTGAGTTAGAGATGTGCTGCAAAACTCCCTTACCTTACCAGGTCATTGAGGTCACCCGTGCCCTCTGTGCCCAGGTGAGCCATGTGCTCATGGAGCTCCTTACACAAAGTGCTTGAGAACATGTGCAGGTTACTGGGACTCATCTTCCCCTTCATCATGCTGTAGAGGTTACCATGGTTCTGATAAAATGCTTCTGCAGGAACAGAGACTAAATACAAAATGAAACAGAAACGCTTTGGAAAGTAGATTTTTCACTCAAACAGTGAACAATTTTACACTTAACTTTTGACTCTTGACTCTTTTGACTTTAATTTAAATGCCTTAACCCTCATTTTCCTAAAGTACAATTCCCTGGAAGCTTCCTTGTACCATGTAAAGATTTTGGTAATGACTCTGCTTCTCCCAGTCTGTGTAACATCTTCCTGCCTCGTGAAGCTTCAGTGCCAGGATCAACAATCCAGAGATTTCCCCCCAGTGGGGTGTACAGAGATGTGCAGGCGCACCACAAAACTGAATGAAGTGAAAAAAAAACCAGTTTGTGTCTCCATGCTACAGAATTACATCCTCATAAACACCTCATCCTTTTCTAATGACTGTTGTACTACTGTGTAGCAACTAATTATTGTTGCAAGCCAACTGGGAGAAACATATTGTCCAGGGAAGTGATACGATTACCTACAATTGCTCTTAACAAGGTACATGCACGTGGGGAGTCCAGCCACAGCAAAGGACCTGATCTCAAACTGGGGTTGCTGGGTGATAAAAGTAATAACATTCCCTGGATCAGAAACTTCTGATTCCTTGAGACTGAATCCAAATCCCTGGTTTACAGTACTGGGTCATCATGGAGAAATTGAATTTCACCGTTTCACAGCATGGTCATGGATTAGAATTAAGCATTTAAGGCATGACCAAAAAGCCAACAGGCTTTTGGTTGGGATTTAATGTTCCTGGGTAACTAGATTTGGTTTCCTTTTACAAATAGACAGGTGTCAGTTACCTGCATTCTGGACAGCTTGCTGTACTGCCTGTTCAAAATTTAAGTCTTCAGATTTAAAAAATGCTTCAGTTCCTTCTTCCTCAGTCACAAAAGTGAACCGTTTTCCCAGAGCAAATATTGTGAACACAGGTCCATGCTGGAACAAACAAAGATTTCCTGTCAGTACACTGTTAACACATTTTGCAGGAACCCCAGCACGACTTCAGTGCTGCTGAGAGGTCAGGAGGGAGGACCTTGTCATTCCTGCTCTCTGCACACCTTGGCTCAGAACTGCACAAAGATGAACATGAATCAGACCAAAATTTGCAGGCTTATGACCAGAAGGGAATGTGGTATGTGCCTGACCTCTTGCAGAGTGGAAGAGATTTCTTCTCTTAAATTAACACTTTATATTTGAATTACATTGCAGTTCAAACAATACAACCTACATGGATTTAGAGAACCCAAGGGATGGATTATCTACTGCATCCTTTGGCTGCCACAGCAAAGTACCAATACTGTAAATATCCTTAATCCTATTATTTCAGTCTACACTGTTTTAGCAAAAAGTCCACCTTCATGCATATTTTTTAGGTTCCAATATTTCATCCTTTTACCTTTCCTTTCCTTTCCTTTCCTTTCATTTCCTTTCCTTTCCTTTCCTTTCCTTTCCCTTTCTCCTAATACCAATGACTTCTTTCTTGCAGAGATTAATATCAAAATAGCTAACAACCTTTGAGCAGAACAGATTGCCTGACCTCTTGCAGAGTGGAAGAGATTTCTTCTCTTAAATTAACACTTTATATTTGAATTACATTGCAGTTCAAACAATACAACCTACATGGATTTAGAGAACCCAAGGGATGGATTATCTACTGCATCCTTTGGCTGCCACAGCAAAGTACCAATACTGTAAATATCCTTAATCCTATTATTTCAGTCTACACTGTTTTAGCAAAAAGTCCACCTTCATGCATATTTTTTAGGTTCCAATATTTCAGGTTTTTTTAGGTTCCAATATTTCAGGTTCCTTTCCTTTCCTTTCCTTTCCTTTCCTTTCCTTTCCTTTCCTTTCCTTTCCTTTCCTTTCCCTTTCCCTTTCCCTTTCCCTTTCCCTTTCCCTTTCCCTTTCCCTTTCCTTCCCTTTCCCCTTTCCCTTTCTCCTAATACCAAAGATTTCTTTCTTGCAGAGATTAATATCAAAATAGCTAACAACCTTTGAGCAGAACAGATTGACTGACGCTCAGGAAAAGTTTTTGATGCCATAAATTATTATTTCATCTTCCCTTAATCTAATATCCTAAAGCCCTCTTGAAACTTCCACCAATAGGAATTAAATTCTGAGTTCCTCCATTGTTAAAATGATCCCTGACACTTGCAAATACTCTAAAACAGAAAACAAATGTGTAATATCTTCTGTCAGACGTAGGCATAAAAAGATCATTCTACCTTGCTCACATTGTTTATGCCATTGACTTTAACTATTTCTTTTGCTGTTGGTGTCTGTAGTGTAAATCTTGCTTCATCAAAAGCTCTTTGAAGCCAAGGAGAAGATTCCTCCTGGCATCAGCTGAATTTTGATGGTGTCCTTCAACTGCAAATTATTAAAGAAAGAGTGACAGTTCACACTCTCTGGTGATAATAAATAAAATACTGTTTTAATAACAAGTGTTCCAGGCCAGATTGGATGAGGCTTTGAGCAGCTGTCCACTGGAATTTGTCCCTGCCCATGGCAGGAGGTGGAACAAGATGAGCTTTAAGGTCCATTCCAACACAGACCAATCTGTGATTCTATGACTCTACAGTAGCTACATTTTTAAGATTGCTTTTTGATGTCCATGTCCTCATCATCAGTCTGGATAAAAATTTGTGCTGTGCTTAAAAATTAGATTTTAAAAATTTTAAATTAACATTAAAATGTACTTAAACTAATTTTAAAATAAAATTAAATTAAATTTGAACTAATAGCAACCTGCAATAACACTTAATTATTCAATTAAAGTCGCACTCAATTAAAGATTGGAACACTTTATTTTAGGTGATTACATGTGAGCAAGATGTCTGAGCTCCCATAACAGACAACAGAAATCAAGTCTGTGCAGTCAGGGGATCCTAAACACCAAATCACCAGACCATCTCCTGCACTCCTGTTCTTGGAGGGAGCTGAGCTGCCCTTGGACTCCACTGACAGCACTGACTACATGTCCAGTGACCATCCTGGTAACCTGCAAACACCCACACAACAATCTGGGTTTGAATCTCATCCAACTTCCTGCAATCTATTTAGAATCATTAAAACTAGATCAATATTTAACAAAACTGAAATAAGCAGGCTCCATAGATGACCTTCTCCAGAATAAGTCAGCCTCACGGAGCAACACTGTCATGGCAGATATTCAAACAGATCTTTCAGAAAGCAGAATTTTGTGTCCAAATAGATATGACATTTGATAAATGCAATACAAAATTAAACTACTAAGAAAGGTTTGAAATCAAACTAATAAAGGCAATCTGCCTCCCCAACAACAGAGACTTTTCCAAGCATGCCAGATGCAGGAAGTCTCCCAGTGTGCTGCTGAGCCTGATAAACACTCAAGGTGTAAGGAAACAGAGTGGGGAGGAACCTGAGTCAGGGATTACATCAGTGTAAAACAAATCCTACCTTGCAGCCTTTCACTGAGAGCGATGGACTGAGACCTTGTTTTGAAGGAAGTATTGAGCAGAATAGACTTAAACAAGTTCTAGGTAAAACAGCCATAAATATTTCAATTCAGAACTCTTGAGGAATTAAAATAAGAAGTTGCAGAACTCCCTGCGGTGATCTGTTAAATCATCCTCAGCAACAGGAAGATGGACAGGCAAACGTGGTGACAGAAGGACCACAGAGTCCAGAAGCCTCAGAGTCATTTTGGTACTCAAAAAATTACAGTAAGCATTATTAAGGATTGAATTAGTAGTGGATAAATAGGATGTACTGTAAAAGAGCCCAGAATAGCTTTTAGGGAGACATAAGGTTGTGTGGTGTTAGAAGTATTTTCTAATTCATTCTTTGGAAGAAGAACTAAAAGTTTACTCATGATCTGGAGTTGAGAGTCTAAAAAATGAGAAGACCTAGAAATGTCACAGAAGAAGGCTTAGAATAATGACACTCTGAAATTACTCCAAGATCTGTTATGCAAGTGCTAATAAATGGCTTCAAACTGTAAGCAAGTAGGTTTGCACTGGATATTTGGGAGAAATTCTCTACTGTGAGGGTGGTGAGGCCCTGGCACAGGTTGCCCAGAGAAGCTGTGGATGCCCCATCCCTGGGATTGTTCAAGAGCAGGTTGGATGGGGCTCTGAGCAACCTGGGATAGTGGAAGGTGTCCCTGTCATGGCAGAGGGGCTGGAATGAGATGATCTTTAAGGTTCCTTCCAACCCAAATTATTCTATGATAATTAATCTGGAGCTCTTATCTTGCTAGGAAAGGTGAGGAAAAAGGACAAGAAACATCTAAACCCATTCTGTGCCTGCATCTTTAATTTGTGTTTCTGCCAATTCCATCTCAGCAGGATATTCTGAGCTAGTCAAAGTCAAAGGGATGCACAACATGCATGAATATTTCAATAAAAGGAGATTAAGTGAACTTAGATCCCAGGAAAAGAGGAAAAGATAATCATTGTTCTCAGTTCCTCATAATGTAAAAGCTAATCGGTTTGAGATTAGGAGTTAGATGGTTCAAAACCAGACAGAATACTTTATTCATATGGGTCATTATTAAATTAAGGATTCACTGCTGTGCATTGCTGGGAAGCCACATTTATACATAGGGTAACAAAAGAGATTAGGTCAATCATATAGATGCAAATTCCAGCCTAACAAATCCCTAAACCAGGAGCTAGGAAGAAAAAGCTGGAGGCTACATACTCTCACCTGGGTGTGCCCCTTACACCCTGCTACTGAGCATCTCCTAATGGCTGCTGTCCCAGACAGACAGCTGAATAACCAGGCTGTTCATCTGTCAAAATGTGTAATTACACTGATGTTACACTGCAATAAAATCAGCTCCTGGAATGAGCTGTGGGGCAGTTCTGCACTTGTGTTATGGGAAGGTACCAACGGAGTGCAGGCTCTGCTGCCAACACTGCAGCCAGGTTACTGCTCTGAAACAGCTTTTAAGGACACTTCAGAACATAGAGAGATATAGAAAGAAGAAAAAAAGTCCTTTTAGGATTTATTGCTTTCACTCATAAAAGCTAATTTTTTTCCAAAGATTGGGAAACATTTCAGTGCCACAGTAAGAGACAGAGTCAAGCCTAAGGAAAGTAACACTCCAGAGAAATAAAAACTTCAGAAGGATGTTCTCCAAAATCCTAATGGAAATCAAGGAAATAGTAATATTTCCCAGGGCTCCTTCCCAGGGAACAACCACTCTCAGCTGAGACAGCTGCACTGCACCAAGAGCTCTGCTGGGAGCTGGGGGCACTGGGTGTGCACACACACACAGAGTCAATGCCACGTCCCTTCTCTAGCTCAGGGACTGCAGCATTTTGGTCTTCTGCACCTGGGAGCAGTCACAGACCTTCAGTGACTGAGCTGGAAATGCTCCACCAGAAGTCTTCTCCCGCCAGTGATGGATGTCCCTTGCAGAGTAACCCAGTGAGCCTCACCCAGCCACACACAGAAAGGCCAACAGTCCTGGGACACGGCACCTTGTCCCAGTTCAACACTCTCTCTGAGAGGGATGTATGGATCCCACAGGTCCCTACAACAGTGCAGAGCAATCTCCTGGGTTTAAATGAACTTTTCCTGTTTGCTTAATTAGCAAACTGAGGAGAAGAATTTGAATTTCCTTACTAACTCTTACCATGTTTGCCAGGCCAAGTGGGGAGCCATACCCTTAGAAGGCCTCATTAAGCAGCTCACCCTGTATTTCATGTGGCATGGTGGCTCTGGTTATTTCCTGTCCATTCCAGACTGCTGCAAAACTTCTCTCACCAGGCAGCTTTAGGAGGAAGAGGTGGTATCTTTTATTAGACAAGAGATTAAATATTTTATTAGAGCAGGGGAACTTTCTTTTCTTAGTCCCAGTGATGACACAAGGGGAAAAGGAGACAATTCTTCCAGCCCACGTGTTCTTCCGTGGGAGGAAAATAGAAGCAGCAAACTCCAAGCAAAGGGCAGGCTGGAAGCAGTGGAACTTTACTGTGTTACCCAGGACTTGAGAGAAAAAACAGTGAAGGATAGACACAAAAGGAATTAAGGAAGAAAGTAGTTAAGAAAAAAGGGAATTAAGAAAGACATGAGTGTCACTTTGACAGTCTGAAGGATTAATCCAGAGGAGGAATTGCAAGAGTCTCCCCTGAAGATAATGCCCTTGCAGAGATGAGGAGGTTTCACACTGCCTAAAGCTTATTTCTGTAACACCTTTTACGAGGGCAGCAGATACTAAGGACACTTAACCTTGTTCTGGCAGTATTAAGGAGCCTGGAATTATTGCAGATGTATTTTGAAAGCCCTGTAGTGCCTGTTAATGACCCCTTTGGCAGCAGCACGTGTTTTGTTTGGCTGTACTCTCCAACAGTGCCTACTCTTTTAAAAAGGAGCAGGCAGGAAAAGACTTATTTTTCCTGGCCTCAGCACAGCATGCCAGTGTGGGAGGTGGGAAGGGAGGGAAGCTTTCAGTGCCTGAGGAGGGTTTAAGGAGAGGAAGGGGGCAAGAAGCAAGTGGCCTTCCTCAGAGGCAGGGAGAGTGTCAGGTGATGGTGCTGCAGGCAGCTGGCCAGCTGGGAGGGATGGATGGTCCCAGGGTGACCACAGGGAGAGGTCAGAAGGAGCTGCTAGACTAAGAGTCAAAGGAAAAGCCCTACCAGCAACCACACAGTAAAGGAAAAGATGTAAGAAAGCCTTCTCTTCCTTCTTTGCTTTGAGTTTTCAGCCATTGAAAATGGTTCTTGTTCTAGTCTCTGTCCCAACAAAACCAGAGGTTTATAAAGTCCTTCAGGTGTTCCCGGAGTGTGCAGATGTGTCAGCAGCTGCCACAGCATCAACCTGGAGCCCAGAGGGTCTCCAGGCAAATGAACACCAAAATTAATTAACCCAGAGCCAATGAGTGTGCATTTGCACAGATGAAAGCTACAGGGAAGACACAGTAATATTAAATTAAAACTGGCCTGTCAAGCACAGAGAAGCCAAGAAACTCCAGCTCATACCTCTGAGCTTACCCCATGATGTACCCAGTGTGCTTTAATACAAGATTGACAGCTCTTGTTGTTCTCAAAGATCAGATCTGCTTTAACACCATGAGTTTATAACAATACAAAAAGAAATACAAATATGAAATCTAGCAGTTCAAAATGAGAAAGCAAATTTTAAACACCCAGTATTTATTGATGTGGGTTTTTTGGGTTTTTTTCAAATTTTAGGATGTTACAGTGGTTTCATTTTTAGCTAGTTTTTGCAAGTAGTGGGGCTGTGTGATTCTTCAGCACGGAATACTCAAGGCTGATGACACTGTAGTAGCAGGTGATATAATCACTGAATGAAAATGGGAAACTGGGGTTTATATCAGTTATTATTAAATATCTAGAAATTAAGAATTTGATCTCTTTCTATCCGACAGACACAGAAAAAGAAATTCAAGTCCAAGGGGTAAATCCTGACCCCCATGTTTAATTAAGATTTTTAGGACAGAAAATTTTATCTGCCAAGCACATCCGTGTGTTGCTTGAATGCTGAGGGACACCAGCTGGTGCTCAAAAATCTCACCTAACTTTAGGCATGCAAGTAAGTAGTTTCCTGGTCCCAGCACTTGGCACAGAGCTTTCCACATTACCTGAAACCAAAACTAACACACAGCCAGACTGCAAAAGCAAAACGGCAGAGCTCCAAACAGGATGATCACAGCACAGAGATTATGCCTCGATCAGACCCACAACTCACCAATGCTGGTGGCACTAAGCCGATTCTTCACCATTTAAATGCTCCTGACGTTATAAAACGTGACAGGAAAGGGCAAAACTGAAGGCAGAAGTTTCTGGTTGCCTTTCCCCTTGCAGGCAGCCACCCTGAGCACGCACCCGAGCAGGCAGGCCAGCACACGCATTACCTTCTTTCTGGCTTGCTCTATAAACTCCAGAGGAGCTTTCCCGAACTGAAACGCAGCTCCAAACCAAGGGATCCAGCTCCTGATGCAAGGAGGGGAGCTCGGGTTTCTCAGCTGAAACAAAAGAGCCTTGACAATGAGGAGTCCCAGGAGCGCTGCCAAGAGCAGAGCGAGATCCATTTTGCCTGTCCCCCGCCCGTCCCGGCGCCGGGCGCTGCTCCGCCTGCCGCAGCCCCGGCATGGCCGCGCTCCGAGCGCCTCCGCCGAGGCCTCTGCGAGCGGCCCTGCCAGCCGAGCGCTGCCGCGGGCACGGCATCAAAGCCCTGAGCAGCACAGGGCACAAGCCCTTGCTCTGGAAAAGGCAGAGCCAGTTCTGCTCTGGTCTGGGATGAGGACCAACTCTGCTGCTTGCGAAAGCTGGATTTGCTGTGGCAAAGCCTTGGACTTTACGCCAGTTGCTGGAAGGCCACCCGGGCAGCCAGGGACACCGGCAAAGCAGTGCAGAGCCTTCTTCAGTTTAAAAAATACACTTTTTTTTTTTTTTTCCAATATTGAGATTAGAAAGCAAAGAACCTGTGATTTGCAGACATTTTGCTTTCAGCAACTCAGAGACGGCAAGAAACTTCTGCAGGCATCACCTGAAGCAGAAACCTTAAGAAAGGTGTCTCTCACCTGTCTGAGATAATTCATTAAAGGCTGGATGTGTCCAGTGTCTGAGGAGCAGAGAAATGCTTCTGAGGTTGAACTGACAGATCAAAACCTGCTGGCCACCTCTATTGTATCAGTGCCTTGTCAGAAGACAAGGTTTCATAGAGGTCAGATTAGTTTCTTTGCATGTGTGAAAGTGGCACATCAAAATTATGTACAGAATACATTAAGTATAAAAAACCTCTAGGAAGTGCTGTCAGCATCTACCCCCACACACCTTCAGCAGGTTTGAAGGGAACAGAAAACCAGGAGTGTCTGACAGACCAGATGAGTGTGCTGCCACACAGGGGGACCTCAGCAGCCTGGAAAACAGGCAGAGAACAACTTATCTCAAAATCAGAGAATAATGGCTTGGAAGGGGCCCCAAGGATCCCCTGGTTCAGCTTTTCCTGGAAAAAAAATTTAAAAAACCAGGGATTAATGAAGTTCAGCAAAGGGAAATGCCAAGTTCTGCCACTGGGTAGAAACAACACCATGCACCAGTACAGGCTGAGGGGGCACCTGGGTGGACGGGAACTTTGCAGATCAGGGATCCTGGTGGACACCAGGTTGAACACGAGTCAGAGATGGACCTTGAGCACCCTGGGCTGCATCAGGGACAGTGCTACCAGCAGAGTGAGGGAGGTGATCCTCTGCCAAGAGTGAAGTGCCAAAAAGGGGCTGGAGCATCTGTCATTTGAGAAGAGGCTGAGGCAGCTGGGACAGCTCAGTCTGGAGAAGGCTCAGGGGGAACTTCTCAGTGTGTATGAACGCCTGAAGGGAGGGTGCAAAGAGAATGGAGACAGGCTCTTTTCGGGGTGCCCAGTGAAAGAGGCAGTGAGCATAAACAAATACAGATACAAATACAGTTTAACTCACTTCCTATACAGGAAGAGGAGCACAAACAGGAGCCTTTGTACCTGTGCAGACAGGCAGTATGGTAAAAGTAGCACAGCAGAAATATACCTGATAGTAGGAGGTTCAGAGCTGTGAAAATTAAGTATATGTTCTTCATTAAACAGTCATTTTGAAATACCTTGGGATATTACATGTTGGTTGTAGGTGCAGAAGAACAAGCTCACATACGTCAGCTGTGACAAATAGGGTGTTGAACTCCATTTTGCAAACTGTCTGGAACAAACAGATAAATCACTGTTAACTGTGATATTTCTACACTTCTCTGTTTAGCTATCACAGCTCTTTATATGTTTATTTCCTGGTTTTATTTTATCCATTAAATTATTTCTCTTCCTGTAAAGGGGTAAAGTGATAAGAGAGCTAAAGGCCTTGTAATATTGGAGAAATGCATCTTTTCATTATATGCATGGTATATTTTCATTAACTGACTGAGTAGTGAGTTCAAAGTGATCTATGTATACAGGTCAGACAATTTCTCAAGCCTCTGTGAAGACATTCATTAAAGGCTTTTGTGTTTGTTTTGGCCTTTTTTGTTTGTTTTGTTTAGATTGTACTTTTAGGGCATGATTTGGTGAAGGACATGAGATGCAAGGCACTGTTGTGAGGAGGATACAACCAGTAGGAATGTGTAACAGTCACTGCCAAGCTTTCCTTGGGCTGGGCAGTGGTTAATGTTTAATGGTTTTTCCAAGTGAACTAACACAGAAGCACAGGTGAGGGCACTGAGCAGTCTGGCTGCCTTTCTCCAGCAGCACACAGCTGGCCCAGAGCCCGCTGCTGTGCTTCCACCCCATCTGAAGTCCACACTGTCTCCCTCTATATGCAGCCTTTGGTCAAACTGGCTTGGGACAGAAACCAAAAAACTCCACCTCACTGAGAGTTGAAATAAATTAATAGGAAGGGTCCTCTCTTCTGGTGCTGTCTTCTCAGGATTTGGGGATGTGGGAGATCCAGGTATTTGATGGCTCTCCCTGAGTACTGGTCCTACCCTTCTCCACACATCACAGAGCTGTGCATGCAAGCATCCACCTCTAGTCAGGCTCATTTCAAAGGTCCTGTGGGAAGAGAATATTCCTCTTCACAGCCATCCCCCAATCATCTGGTTTAAAAAAGAAGCTATTTCTTCAGGCTAGAAGTGACCAGGGAGAGCTGCTCCTTCCATAGGATGCTGCAATGCTATAAGGTTTACTTTAAGGAGAGATCTAGTTGTTGTTTTCCACTCCCTACAGCATGGTCATAGAGAAAACAGAATGAGATTGTACCCAGAGGTAATGGTTGTGAAACCCTCACCCTGGGAGGTTTTCAGGGCACCAAACAAGACCTTGGGCAACCTGCTGTAACTCCAAAGCTCTCCCTTTTGTGGCAGAGGACTGGCTGTAGGATGACTGCAGGTGAACTCTAGAGGTCCTCTCTACCCCACATTATGAGTCAATTATACACAGGCTGATAGAGTGTGGCACAAGCTGACCCAAGCTGTACAGGGAGGCACGAAGTGCCACAGCAGATGGCATGAACTGTCCAGAAACAGGCTCTGAACCACTCATATCTTCCATGTAGCCAGGCACATTCGCATTGGATTGCAATATGCCCTCTCCCCATTTTTAACCACAGCTTTGTCAGGAGTTTGTTCTAATGAACAAACTCCTGACAAAGCTGTGGTTAAATTCATTCTAATGAATTTTAACCCCAAGAAGGATCCAATTTAATACCAATTACTGGTGACCAATGAGACAGATTCATCCAGCTTCAACTGAATATTTTACCTGCAATGCTCCCTTAATTTGTCTGAATTATTTTGACAGGGACCACACACCAAAGCTTTAGGCAGTCAGAGGTGTGGGGAGGTGTTCTGAGGTAAGTTTCTGTGACCAAAAAAATCCTCAAATCATCCTGAGGATTACTGACTAATGATTAACTTAGGGATTCAGCTGAGCCTTAATGATAAATTAAAAATCTCTACAATAATGTAAGAGAAATTAGAACTGGGAAACAACAGGACTTCAGCACTTAGCCAGGAAAAGCTTTAAACTTTTCACTTAAGAGCTCTGAGAAATGATCAATTTCTGCCATCCCAGGCTTGCTGGGATCCTTGTTCAAACTGCAGCACTGCCTGCCTAATCCGCAGCCCCAGCACGGCACGTAGCTGTTGCTAATGCAGCTCTTACTAAAGCAGATCTGGATCAATTAATCCCTCCCGGATGCAGCTGCTTGACACGGGAACAGAGTTTGGGGCTCCCCAGGCAGTGCTGCCAATGACAGCACCCCAAAAGCAAACAGATCCCACGCATAATCTTCAGCTCTCATTAATGATTACTCTTTTTAATGTAGATAATGGACAAATCCGTGCGTGTGTCTGTACCTGCAGTGCCGCTTTCCAGGCACAGAGCAGCCTTGGTGGCAGACTACATTTCCCAGGAGCCTGTTGCGCCGGAGTCTCTTGTGTCACTGCAGCAGGACCTTGCAGCTCTGCGGAGCCACTCGGGCTGCTGCAGCTCCCGGTGCTGGCGCTGGAGAAGCATGACCTTCCGCAGCTTGTCTCCTAAAGCACCCCGAGCTGGTCTGCGCTAGGGCCCGCTCTTCCTGCAGGCACAGCCGGGCAGGGTGGCTGGTTACCCTCGGTTCATGTGAGATGCTAGATGTCACCTGCAGAAGAAGAGAGGAGCTTACCTCTTCCAGAGAGATGGCCCCGAGCCAGCAAATTCGCCCTGTCAGCCTGTGCAGCGGCTGTGGCAGAACTAGGTACAACTCACCATGGTTTTCCGAGAGGGAAGGGGGGTCAGATTTACTTACGGGGGGCAGGAGGAACATCAGTCCCTGAATGCCTCATTTCCTCAGTGTTCTGCTCCAGCAAATCTTCATTTCACTGTGCTAGTCATGGCTTTTCCATAATCTAAGTGTTTTATGCCACCTGACTGTGGCTGGAGGGAGGGTTTTTCAGCATGAAATCTTTGCCTCAGAGACCGAAAGGCTGCAGTCATTAACTCAGTGCAGTTGTGACTAATTTAAGCTTTGCACTGGCTGGGTTTCCAGAGAAAGACTAAAGAGGCAGGCAGATCTGTTGCCTAAGTTACTAGCAAGGCCTTATTCCTTCAGGAATTTCCTTTTCATAGTCAGTGAATGTTAATCAAAGAAAAATCAACTCTTAAGTTTCTGGTGACAGTGGAGATGCTTATAAAAATGGAGTTGGGAAACTGCTTGGTGAAACATGGAAGAGAAGCCCACTGGCATCTGTGTATCACTGCTTTGTGACCAAGTAACGTATTTTGAATATTTTTAGCATGTTCTTTATAATTTCTATAGGCTCTTACAAGCAAGTCAGTTACATTGCTCTAAAGATTTGTAACTTCTCAATCTTTGCTAATCTTTAAACATGAATGCCAAACATAATGCACAAATAGACTATAAACCTGCTGAGGCTTTGAGCAGTGACTGCAGTCCCCTGGCACCTGAGTCCTACTTTGGATGACCCTGGTGTGTCTCAGAGGTAACAAAACAAAGACAAGTCCTGCTCCTTCCCTGCCACAGGCTGGGATGGTCCATCACCAGGCACTCCTGGCCTGGAACTGAAATGAGGGGCACAAATATGTATCCATACTGTTTCAGGAGCTGCCTTGGGAAGCTGAGATCACCTTGGTTCTCCTTCACTGGCCACCAGTTATTTCAGCAAGAGAAATAACAGGCTAGACATTATTTCTGTGCCTGTGTAATGAACGCAAGCATGCTTTAGGGTGGTTTGTGGACAGATATGTATGTAAGTTTGTAGGTGAGCCTGAGTGTGTCACCATTATGATGACCTCTGTGGGGTTGTTCCTGACCATAGCATGTGCTGCCAGTGTGCTGGACAGAATTGGAAAGACCACATGATCAACTGAGAGATATGACCAGTCCGTGTTCAGGGGGAGTAACTGGAACAGGATTTTTAATCCCGAGTCCCTCACAAGGGACACATACTTGCATAACAAATCTGCAGAACTAAATATGGGAGAAAGACTGTGTGTTTGACAGGAATGTAATTTAGTTACTTGCGCCTAGAGCCACTTTTAACAGACCTGGATGAGAATTCTCCTTTTCTCCAGGGATCTCCTGGACCCTGTTGGGTCCAGCCCCTGCTCCCTGCTGGTGCCTGTCGGGTGCTGGCAGGGCATTGCGGTGCGGCCGTTCCCGGCACGGGAGGTCTCCCTGCAGCCGCACTCCTATTCACTTGTGTTCCCGGCCCTTTGCCCTCAGTGACATTTCCCCTGGATCTCACGAAAACCCGGCTGCAGATCCAAGGTGAAGCTGCCGTGCGCCGCGGCGGAGCTGGGCCGGCGGTGCCGTACCGCGGGATGCTGCGCACGGCGGCTGGAATCGCGCAGGAGGAGGGGGTTCGGAAGCTCTGGCAAGGAGCCACGCCGGCCGTCTACCGCCACATAGGTGAATATCTGCTCGTGGTGGGACACGATGCGTCCTGCCTTCTGTGGCCAAGCCTTTTGGAGTGAGCTTGCCATATTTTCTTGTTCTTTAAATGTATCTGTGAGGACTTTTCGGTCCAGCCTGCAATCCCACTTTGAAATATATGAGATTTCAGATCAATAGCATCTCTTCCTTCCTTTTCCTAGTCCTTCATGGCCTTATTCTGACTTCTGGGAAAACAAAGTATAAGTTCTCTGTCATCTTTGCATGAAGATCTCGTTCAGGAAGTCCAGACACTCAGAGTTCTCAGAACAATAAATGTCTCGCATGTGAGGGAAGTGGGGGCAGATTAGAAAAAAAGGATGGGAAAAAAGATGAGCTTGCAAGCACAAGGGAAAAATACAATTGCTTAAAAGAAATGCATTAGTGGTTTGCCACAAATTACAGCTTACTGTGCTTCAGCTGGAAATACGGTGACAACAAAACTCAAAAGCACTTGTGGAGGTTTTGTGCTTGGCATCAGCCCAGAAGGAGGCGATGCAGTCCCATCTCCTTAGGGTGCAGGCAAAGCTGTGCTGCCTCCTGGCAGACCTGTGGCTCAGTCAGAGAGATTTTTTGATGCTAAAACGCCCTGGCTCTCCCACTGACACCAGAAAAACCCCTCACTTTCCCCATCCAGATAACAAACATGAGAGCAGTGACCAGCTGAGCCAGGCGAGCTCTGGAGTGTTACAAACCACAGTCTTGATCTCCCTCTCACTGTGACCTCCAGAAATGGCAGACCCAAGAACTGTCTCCTGCTTTTGTTTTCCACAGTATACACTGGTGTTCGGATGGTTACTTATGAACATCTCCGTGACTCCGTGCTTGGCAAGGCAGAGGGTGAAAGCTTTCCTCTCTGGTAATGTTGCATATTCACGCATATTTATTGATTGCTTGGGGATTGTCCTTACTGTAAGAGACCTACAGCAATATCTTAGGTCCAAAATGTATCTGGTTTTAGAATGGAATTGATAAAATCTACTGCAAAATACTTGTCATGCCCAATGTTACAAGAAGGGGGACCTATGGATAATACTGAAATTTCTGATTTTACTAAAATAAATAGACCCATAAAATTAACACAACTTGTCTAGTACCAGTGGGAGAGAAAGAAAAGTATATATCAGCAAGCAGTTTGGAATTTCAGGTGGGCATTCAGTTATAATACATGGAGCATCATCCTTTACTTGTGTACTTTGCCATCCTGCCTTTAAACCTTAAGCAAAGAGCAAAATGTAACCTTGTTTTGTTTTTTTTTTTCCCCCAGGTAAGTTTTAACCCTTTTTGAAAATTGACAGAAATATTACTGACTCCTTTAACAACCTATAGCCACCACAATTATTACCTTTACTTTGGCTATTAATATATGGAATAATTGTTTACACTTGTTCCACCTGGGTTGTGCTGCTGAGCTCTTCAGCTTGAGCACTGTGACCTGTGAAGATTTTCAGTGTACTCTGGAGCACAATTTTTCTCCATTTGGCAGGAAAGCTGTGGTGGGAGGCATATCTGCAGGTGCCGTTGGACAGTTTTTTGCGAGCCCAACTGATCTGGTGAAGGTGCAGATGCAGATGGAGGGAAAAAGGAAGTTGGAAGGAAAGCCGTTACGGTTGGTTCCTCTCTGAGCTGGTGTTTCTTCCCCTCTTACTGATCACTCTTTGGCCCAGGGTGTGTTTCTCTGTGTTTTCTGTCACCCCTTCTCCCCAGCTTCTCTGTGCCCTTTTACAGGGAGAGCACCTGATGGCTCTGGGCAGTGAAGAGGGGAGGGATTCAAGACCTCCTCCTTATTCCATTTATGCTCATCTTCTTTATTCTGATTTATTGGTCCCAGGGACCACAAACCCATCCTCTGTGCTGCAGCATATCCATGCCAGCACTGCACCATGGGGAGGGAAGGACGCTTTCTGAAGATGGAAGAAAGCACAAGTGAAATGGCTCATGCAGGATGCACAGGCACAAGGAAGGCTGGCACACAGCAGGGCTTGAGACTCTTCTGCAAATACCAGTCTGCATTCCAAATTGCTGCCATCATTTGGTGTCACATACATTTAGTACTGTAAGCCAGTGTGGGACCTAAGGCTTGTCTGCTGTTAGGGACCAGATCACTGCTTTGCAAGGCAACTGGTATTTCTGGTAAAATATTGTGGCATGAAAGTCAAAGACAGATCCAAAAATGGATCTGGAGTGCCAGATCCTGGCAGGTATAAATTCCTAATCTTGTGTGAGGACCCAGTACAACAAAGTACTGGAACATGCAAAGATTTCACTGGGCTGTCTACCCACAAGTTGCATCTTGATTTCAGGTTTCGGGGTGTGCACCACGCATTTCTGAAGATCCTGTCTGAAGGAGGAGTAAGGGGACTTTGGGCTGGATGGGTACCAAATGTCCAGAGAGCTGCTCTGGTGAACATGGGAGGTAAATGGAATAACTTGGCCTGCAGCACTCAAGGCCCCACCAAAGCTTTAAGAAAAAGGAGCTCAGCTGCTCCCTTTGCCTTAGTGTCGTGATTACCTGGGCCCTGTTTGGAGCACCCTGCAGGTCACCTCTGCCTTGTGCACCTGTGTTTTGGTCCTGTGGAAATCAAATGGCTTAAAAGTAACAGTTTTTACCTGCATTTATAGAAAAGTGAACCAGGAGCTGAAGGGGTCCCACAGCCAGCAAAGCAGGAACTTCACCAACCACAGCCAGTGCCCCAGTGAGGTGAGCAGAGCAGAGCCAGCAAAGGCAGCCAGGCTTCACCAAGATCCAGATCCGTAGGGAAGTGTGTGGTGATGAGGCAGGTGTGAGACCAAGCCAGGAAGCTGAGCCAGCAACAGGACTGGTGAGGGTCACCCAGATACAGCTCAGCATCATCAGTAAGGTAAATCAGAGCAGATGGGAGCAGAAAGGAGAATGTACTCGTTTAAAGACAGGACTCAGGTGCCACAGCCCCCATTAAAAACTGGGGGCAGAGTGCCAGCTGTGCCAAAGACAGGAGCCTTAACAACCTGTGTTGTGAACAGCACAGACCATTCACTCCTGACAGTGCTGTTTTTTTCTCATTATCCTCTTCACAGATCTGACCACTTATGACACAGTGAAACAATTCTTGCTTCTGAACACGACACTTCTGGACAATAGTGTGACTCACAGCGTCAGCAGGTGATGTATTCTCCAATTACCCCTTTTCCACTGTGGAGCATTTCCAGCCTTGCTGTCTTCATCTGCTTCTCTGTGCCAGCAGAAGACCCCATTCTTTGATTTTGATACTGCTGATGAAATGCAACTTCAGAATTATTTTTTTCCTGAGAGAACATCACTTTATAGAAACACAAAAGAAAGGATGCAACCATTGCTACAAAACTGCCCTCACTAGAAGTGCCTTGTTGGTGCATTTAAACCCTTTGCTCTAATCTGTGGGAACACAGTGATACAGCTTCTGCAGAACATCCTCTTTTACTCTCTTAAGTGATGAAATAATCTGCTTTATATAAACATTATGAATTGCCTATTGTGGGTCCTTCATCCCTGACTCAGAACTGCACACAGAGGTGAGGGCAGCTGGCACTGGGAGGACATGTGAGCATGAGCAGTATTAGTAAGCCTCCCAAATCAAGTTTATGTTATGAGTTATTACTCATGATTTGATGATAACTGTTTTAATATATCTTTATTATAAGAACTGGAATCACAATGCTGAAATTTTTATGATACATCTTGGTTTCTTCCTGAAGTATCTGTTGCTGTTGGCAGTGCCTGCTCTGGGCTGGTAGCAGCTGTTCTGGGAACTCCTGCTGACGTGGTCAAAACCCGGATAATGAACCAGCCAAGAGATAAGCAGGGAAGGTATGGACACTTCACAGACCAACTTTTCAGCAGCACACTGAAACCATGGGTCTGACTGATTTCACTGGGAGTGAAATGCTAAATTGATAATTTGCTCTTCATCTTTCTAGTGATGATTTTACTGATTTAATAAAATGTCTGGGGGGTGTTGTTGTGATGGCCACCTCAGCATAACCAGTGGATTTCAGTTCTGGATTAGGCTTCAAGGAGATTACAAAAGCACTTTGGCTTGTAGAAAAATCTCAGCACAAATTATTTTTATAAGGGGGATGTTTTATTTTTTTAATTGTGTATTTGTAATCCTAACACTGTTTGTTCTCCTTGCACATTGTAGAGGTCTGCTCTATAAATCTTCCATGGACTGCTTGATTCAAACTGTCCAGGGTGAAGGGTTTATGTCTCTCTACAAAGGCTTTACACCAACTTGGATGCGAATGGTACATGCTTTTCAACTACCTTTACAAGAACAATTAGCACTAAAATGTGAGGAGTGTAGATGCAGCCTTAACCCTATGCAATATTACAATTTTTGTACGAAAGACATAATCATAGAATTGTAGAATGGTTTGGGTTCAAGAGACTTTAAAGATCATCTCATTCCAAACCCTCTGCCATGGACAGGGACACCTTCCACTTGCTCAGAGCCCCATCCAACCTGGCCTTGAACACTTCCAGGGATGGGGAGTTCACAGCTTCTCTGAGCAGACAGAGGCCTTGGAACCTCTCTGGGAACCAGAGCAATATGAGACTGAACTTAAGAATATGATTTTTAAGAAGAGACAATTTAATCTAATGGGCTTATTTATTGGGTTACTTTTGTTTTCAGCCTCTAACTTCAGTGTTTGCTTTCACAGGCACCTTGGTCACTGGTATTCTGGCTTACATATGAACAAATCAGAAGGCTGTGTGGAGTTACTTCTTTTTAAAACCTTCAATATTCACAGAGAGGAGTCAAGAAGCTGAATTCTCATTCCACACGGTAGTAGGATCACATGCATAGCTTGTTGCTCCAAGTCCAGTCCTTACTGTTTGGGAACAGCCATGATTTAAGGATACTATCTGATTGTCAGACTGCTCCATGAAATTTATATTATCCACAGGATAAAATTGTCACAACAACACTTCAGCTAGCAGCCAACATCAGCTTTCCAAACCAGCAACAGGAATAAAAAAAATCCTACCAAGCAAACAGAACATAATACTGTCTGTTTGATAATGGAGATGGTTTCTGTTGTTAAAGACAAGAGCAGCTTGATCAATGCACTGAACAAGTTCTGTGGCTAAGCAACTATAAAATTATTTGGGAATTTTTGTTGTAAACTGCATTTGCACACAGATAAAGAACTACCTCTCGTTAGTTTGATGTGCCAGCAAACCAAACCTGTAGTGCTATGTATTTAAAAAAGATAAAAGCAGTTTACCTGATTCCAAATATGCTTTGCACAAAAAGTGGAAGGGTTTGTGCTCCTCTAACTTCCCAGAGACTACCTGGCCTCTCCACTCAACTCTTTGAGTAAAGATCATGACTGAAGTGCAGTCCTGTTCCCAGAAAATCAAAAGCCTAGTTTGCTCTGCAATGCTCGAAGGTCTCAGGATACTCCACAGGACAAAGCTGAACTGCTTGTCCTGTGACAGTCTCGGTGCTGATGTGCAGACTGGGTCATTTTCCATGGAAATGTGCACTCTGCCCACTTTAAGTCTCGATGGAAATACAACGTTCTCTTCAGTAATGCAAAATGTTTGATCAAGAGTGATTTATTTATTTTTAAACCTAAGGCCTTCCAGATTTCATAGAGAAGGAGGCTAGTGCTGTTTGTCACTACATTCACCTTTGGCAATCAGGAGTCAAAAATGCAGTATCAAAAGCAGCCATGAGTAGATAAAACAAAGCTGGCTTTGATTTAGTAATATCTAATAATTGAGTTAATGTAGAAAATGTGGCTCTGAATAAATACCTAGGATTTCTTCTAGTCTTTGCAACCAGTGTCTCCAGTGTGCCATTTTCTCATTGAATGCAGTTTGGGTGTTTTCTTGGCTTGCACTTGTTTTTTCTGATTGTCCTGTAGTTCAGTTATGGCTGTATGCACTTGGGGTGTGCTTCCAGCTTGGAAAACGTTCATCTCACCATTATTAGGGAGTCACGGAACCACAGAATGGGGCAGGTTGGAAGGGACCACCATGGCTCATCTGGTCCCACCTTCCTTCTCAAGCAGGGTCATCCCAGAGCACAGGGCACAGGATTCACAGGATTGCACCCAGTCAGTTCTGGAATATCTCCAGTGAGGGACACTCCACAGCCTCTCTGGACAATCCATTCCAGGTCTTGGTCACTGCACAGTAAAGTTCTTCCTCACATTCAGGCAGAATCTCCTGTGCATCAGTCCAATGGTTTTGTTCAGAAATCCTGGTGTTTTTCTAGCTGTCATCCTGAGAAACAGATCCAAGTTCTTTCTGTCTTGTACTCCAGCACCAGCAATGACAAACCAGCAAAGCTGCTGCTTCAGTTCCATCCCAAGCACTCCCGCCTGCCATCCTGTTACCCTGATAACCCAGTGATGGATACACAGCTTTACCTTTCTCATGAGACAGGGTAAGTGCTTTTATCACACAGTCATAGAACAGTTTGGGGACCTCTAAGAGTAGTTCCAACTCCCTGCCAGGGGCAGGGACACCTTCCACTATCCCAGGTGGCTCCAAGCTCTGTCCAGCCTGGCCTTGGACACTTCCAGGGATTGGGAATCCACAGCTTCTCTGGGCAACCTGTTCCTGTGTGTCACTACCCTCACAGTGAAGAACTGCTTCCTAATATCCAATCTAAACCTTTTTTCTTTCAGTTTGAAGCCATTCCCCCTTGTCCTGTCACTCCAGGCCCTTATAAAAAGTCCCTCTCCATCCTTCTTGCTGGCTCTCTTCAGGTAATGGAAGGCCACAATTAGGTCACCTTGAAGCTTCTCTTCTCCAGGCTGATCAATCCCAACCCTCTCAGCCTTTCCACCAAGGACAGTTGCTCAACCTCTCTGATTATCATAACCAATATATTAATTATAAGCAGTGTGTAAAACCACTTTTTAGCCTACATTTATCAAAGTTGCCATAAGCTACTTTTATGGGCACACAGCTTGGGAAAATCACTGAAACTCTAAGCTTTGTTAGAATAACCTTGATATGCTTCAATTAACAAAGCCTGAAAGAAGAGAGGTCTATTGATGAAACTGGATATAAGGAGTGCATCATTTATGGACCACAAAGATATTCGGCAGAAAACAGCAGACCAAAAAGAGACTAACAAAGACTCAGTATGTGTGCTGGAAAGTCTCTACCTGGGAAAAAAGATAATAAAAGGACTGAAGAATACAGACTGATTTGCAAGAGAAGTGAGAAATCAATATCCAACAGAAGATAGAATACTAATTAATGAACAAGAATTCTGTAATATAGAGCCAGTGAATATTCTTTGCTAAAAATACATATATAAATAAACATAAAAGATCTGTATCTGCATCTGTGTAGAGGCCAGGATTTTGTCAGCCATACCCACAGACGCCCCTCTTGGCCAAAAATAAAATGCCTGACTCGCTAACACTAAAAAGACAGCGTTAGAGGGTCTTATTTATCCCAATGATTTCAGAGGATTTGGTGTTACTCAACTTGGTGTCACTTGTAAACTTGCTGAGGGTGCACTCCAACCTTTCACCTATGCAATTAATGAAGATACTAAATAACACTGGTCCCAATACAGACCCTTGAAGCATATCTCAAAATAAAAATGACAAAAATGCCTCGTAAAAATATTGTCGTGCAAAACGTATTTAACTCCTAGTAAATCTTTCTCTTCGGCTGTGAATTATTAGCGATTCCTGACGGGTGTCTGCCACCACCTCCCCGTCCTCACACTGCGGCTGCCTCCCTCACGCCGCGCCTCGCCCTCAGGCCGCCGCTGGCCAATAGCCGCCAAGATCCGCACGCGTGTCCCGCCCCCGGCGCCGCTCTGACCAATGGAAGCTAAACGGGCTCGGCGGGCTCTCCCCCTCACCCCGCCTCCGCCGTCCCGCCGCCACCCGTCCCTCGTGGAGTGCTCCACCATGGGCGAGGGCAGCTCCGCCCGGCTCTGCCCTGAGCCCCGTTCCGCTCATGCTCTACGCCCCGGGCATGATTCCGTAACCCTCCTCTTCGTGGCACCTCCGCGTACTCTTATCGTAGCAGGAGAGGCCCCACGTATCAGCTGGCTTCACCCCTGCTTTTTCCCTTCCCCTTCGCGCCACTCTCCACCCCACCGGGAGGATCGAAATGGACTCGGCCGCTGGGGCAGCCGCTAACGGCTGCCCGTGGGTCACGTGGGCGGCGCGTGCTTTATATGAGTCCGAGGGGCGGAGGGCGAGGCGTTCATTCGCCTCGTGCGGGGAGCGGAGGCGGGGCGAGGTGGCTTCGCAATGAGCTCCGGGCCGGAGTCCTTTGGCCGCGGCGATACCATCACCCTGCGGGTCCGCGCCGTGGGGCTGTACCCTGAGGTGCCCATCGTGCGGCTGTGGGGGCTTCTGGGTGAAAGTAAGGCTGACTATGCCCTCCTGTACCGCGAGATCCAGGCGGTGGCCGGGCCGCGCCTGGCGGCCCGCCCAGAGCCCGGCGGGCCGGGGGCCAGCGGGACCAGGCTGTGCCCAGGAGAGATGGCACTGGTGGAAGTGTTGGGTGTGTGGTACCGCTGCTGTGTGGTGAGCTGTAGTGCCCAGGGGTACCGTGTCTTCCTGCTGGATGAGGGGTACGTGGTGACCACATCCGCCTATTATCTGGCACGGGGCTGCTCAGAGCTGTTCCAGCTGCCCCCGGAGGTGCTGGGCTGTGTCGTGGCCGAAGTCATGCCCTCGCACAGTAATGAGGGGACAGCAAGTGGGGATTCACCCGTGTCCAAGTGGACCGTGGAGGCGATGGAGTTCCTCAGCTTCCTGCAAGGCAAGGAGGTGTGTGGTGTGGTGCAGGAGGTGATAATGCCACAGGTCATCGTGCTCGAGCTGCCCCAGCTCGTGGCTCAGATGCAGCAGCTGGGCCTGGCCAAACGTGTCTCTCCCAGCTGGTTCTGCCAGGTGCTCAGGCGCTGCCTGCCTTCTGGCCAGCTAAAGAAGCAGCTCTGTCAGCAGCCTCCAGCGTGTTCCCTTGGAGCTTTTGCGGTTCCGCAGCTTGTCCACATGTTGCTCTCGTACCACCCTCTGTCACCTGCCTTGGATTACTACTACCCCCAGCTTCAGTTAGGTGTGACAGAGCCTGTCCTGGTGACCCATGTCTCGGACCCACACCACATTTACTGTCAGTTGCAGTGCTTGTCACAGGAGATCTCTTGCCTTTCTGAGACCATGTGCCATGCTTACGACCGGTGGGAGCAGGACTTACTGCCCAAAGTGGGCTCGCCATGTGCTGCCCGTGGGATGGATGGCCAGTGGTACCGTGCCATTCTGCTGGAGCTCATTGCTGGGGAGCCGGACCAGCATGCAGCTCTCGTGATCTTTGTGGACTATGGCAAGAAGGAGACTGTGACCGGAGCCAACCTGCGCCATTTGCCTGCCGAGTGTTTCCGCATGCCTGTGCTCACTTACGTGTGCGCTCTTCAGGGTGTTTCGGATGGGGGCTGTGGCTGGTCCCCATTGCAGGTTGACTTGCTGAAAGCGTTGGTGCTCGGCAGAGGAGTGAGTGCTCACATCAAAGCCTTTAACTCCTTTGAGCATCTCTATTATGTGACTCTTTATGGGGAAAATGGTGTTGATTTGAACCATCTTTTTGGGTCTCAGGCTTGCTGCCTGGCCAGCAGTTATGTGAGCCAAACTGAGGCTCATGAGCAGCTGGAAGTAGAGGAATCCTTGGTTGAAGAGTTGGGATTGCCACCAGAAGCACCTCCTGTAGCACACGGAGATTTGGCTGCTGCTGCTGTAGCTGGTGTGTATCTGAAGACCTGGACATTGTACAGTGCACAGGTCTCCCACGTCCAAGACCCATCTGAGTTCTGGTTGCAGCTCCATGAGTATTACCAGCTCTTCAGGCAGCTGAGGCAGTGCATGTGGAATTTTTATTCCCATTCCACAAAGCTGGATGGTGCTGGGTGGGACCCACAGCCTGGATCCCTTTGTTGTGCCAGTGGGAACGAGGGTGTCTTTTATCGAGCAGTGGTTACCAGGGTACTGGACACTGGGGTGGAAATACACCTGGTGGACAGAGGCAGTACAGAGACTGTGGATCTGGGTGCTGTGAAGGAGCTGCTCCCTCGGTTCAGGGAACTGCCTGCTTTGGCTCTGAAGTGTTGTTTGGCAGGTGTTTCCCCTCCAAGAGGGAGTTGGAGTGAAGCTGCTGTGTCCGCATTCAGGGACATGGTACTGAACAAGGAACTAAAGGTTTGGTTTTTGAATGTGCAGGGTGACAAATACATGGTTGAAATTTTTGACCAGTCCCAGTTAGGAGAGGGAAGAGTAAGTAAACTCATGGCCCAGGGGGGTTATGCTAAATACCAGAGGTATGAAATACCCAAGACTTCCCAAAAATTGGATAAGTCTGTGACACAGCCCTCTTCCCTTGTGTGTGCTGCCGAGCAAGGCCAAGTAAATGCAGAGAAGAGGCTCAGAGAAAAATGTGATCTAAAGAGCAGTGATAGAATACTTGATTCTCACATGGGTGTGATGGTCAGAGAGAGCCCTATTGCAGCCATTCACAATTCTAAAAATAGTGAATCTTTTCTTTGTCGAGACTATGAGGGTAAAGAAAATCTGCACACCTCTTTGAGGCAGAACTATGTGGAAATTAAGCCAGGCTCCTCTTGTGGAGGCCACTTAGAAGTGGGAAGTACAGTTAATGTTATTTTGTCATATGTTGAGAATCCTAGTTGTTTTTGGTGTCAGTTAAGTAGAAATTGCCAGGACCTTGAGATACTAATGGATGAAATTCAGGAGCATTGTAAGAATTCATCGCAGCCACATGTTTGGCCAAATCTTGTCTGTTTAGCT